TAATAGTCTAAAATAACTTAAAAAGATCCATACTTTTAATTACTTTTATAATAATAAATAAAGAATAAATATGAAAAACAAGAAATAAAGTACTTACACAATCTTCTTTTTCTTGCTCTCGATTGCGAGGACAGTTAAGCCTGATTTTTTAAATGATTATAGTGAAGCAATAAACAATTTTTATTTAATTAAATAATACGCCAAAGAATATAGACTAATAACGTGCAAAAACTAGATGAACTCACTTACCTCTCAAAATTTTCTTGGCTTTCTAACAATGCGACAAAAGCCGTTACAAATTCTTCCGGGCTAGTCGTTAACTTCCCACGAGAATGAATCTTGTACTGTGTGTGAAATTAACAATATTCTGTTCAGAATACAACGTTATACAATACACCATTTGATAGATTGAAACCTCGACTTTCTATTGGTTATAAGTAATATATAATGAAACATAAGAGAGAAATATCAACCAATTGTGAAAGAGAGGATGTGACAGGTGGGTGTGGCAGTAGGGGTCTTATTTTCGCTTTGATAGCTCTGTAACAAAACAAAATTGAAGGCCATAGAAATTATGGTCTGTTTGAGCAATATCGATTTTATAGAGAGCATTTTACATTTAATTTCGTACATTTTCGAGGGGTGATGGATAAAATAGGGGTGTGCGTTTAGCTGTAACGGCAATTTCTAAAGTGAGTTTCACAGCTTGTATTGTAATAATGGAGACAGAAGAGAATAAATTGTCTCATTAACCCTATCGGCACAGGTACCCTTTATTGCTCATGACACAAGGTTTTAGTGTCTCACATTTTATTAAACTACTTTTTGTTTATGTTATACCAATCAGAATAGCATAATAATCCATATTTTAATAGTATACAAGTTTTAAGTTCTTAATTCTAAAAAGAAATATATAAAAAATCCTGAATTTCCACTAGTGTAACACACAACAAATTTTGTCTTAGCATGTCATCATAGCAATATATATGTGTGTGTGTATATATATAGGTAACCAAATTAGTGGCAGTAAGTAATTTTGTAACAGTAAAGGTAAAAGTGATGTTAGAATGCGTTATAGCAAGTTTGCTTACGTAACTGTTTATGAATCATTTGTTGCATAGTTCAAATGTTGTGAATTTGTGTCATGTTACAAGAACCTTCTCAGTTTTTCTCTTGTTGCACTGAGCATTTTACATCGTAATGTCTCTTAGTTTGTAGAAAGTTCTAGGCCTCAGTCGTTTAGTATACCTCGTGTGAGCGTTAAAGTAAGTTATCTAGAAGCGATAGTTATAGCAAGTTTGCTTACGTAACTGTTTACAAATCAGTTGTTGCATAATTCAAATGTTGTGAATTTGAGTATATAGGTTAAAGTAAGTTATTTAGAAGCGATATATTAAACTTCAAATGAATGGTCATGTATTTCCAACAAAAAGTTTTAGTGAAGAACATTAGGTTATGATTGAAACACAAATGAAGTCTGATAAACTAAGATACAAGCTGGAAAAGCCTGAAAAAAAAAAGCTTTGAATAAAGTGATCAGTTAGTTGAATGAACTTTGATGAACAAGCCACAGAGCTTTTTTTGTTTAAGAAAATATCTACTAAAAGTTAAGAAGTCTGTCTGTTTTATAAAATAAGCAACAGATACTTCAGTGTTATGTTGTTATTGTTTTGCAAACATGCAAAGTGGACTTTTTTTTTAACAAGAGCAGGTTTTAACAATATTATTAGCAATGATTGAGTCTCAAATTTTGGCTAATACAAATATTTGTTGTAATGTCACAAAATACAGAAAATAATTTGTATTTCCAAGAAGTTCCTGAATGATATTCTCTGGTAATTAAGTAAATTACGTTTTTCTAAAATTAATAAATATATAAGTGCTTACTTTATTTCATACAAACAAGGTATTTTAAAATCAGTTAAAGTTAGCATAATTTTTGATAACTGTTGTGAGCTAGTCTACTCTCCAGCTACACAGGGAAGGTTTAGATTACAGAACCTGTGTTTCACTGTGCTAGACTATATTTTTACCTGACATTTTAGAAATAACTTAACAAATATCTTAATTTTCTAAGTATCATAGTTTCTTAACACATCCTATTGGACTCGTTTGAAGTTTCTTCACCCAGTAGGTTTTCAGGGACTCGTTGCATAGTTTCCTATGTTTCAAATGGCTTTAAGATACCTGAGAAACCAGACCATAAATGTATGTTAAGCTAAAATTGATTTCTTAATTCTCTTATTAAAATAGTATATTTCCCTGTGCCAATAGAGAGGCCAGCTTCTTTGGTGGTCTCAATATTTTGACTTTCCTCTAGACCATCTGTTCTGAGTATTTTCAAAGTGTGATGTAGGAATCTTTGCACAAACTTGTTAATGCTAATAAAAATTATGTCTAAAAGGCAATAATGGCTTGCTAAAATGTAGGGGCTTTTGGCAGTAATGAAGGAATGAGAATAAACCCATAGCAATATACAAGCTAAAAACGATTTTGTACTTAAATTACATAAAATGACACTTATGTAAATCATCTATTTACAAGTACAAGGCATATAGCATTAAAATCATTACACAATAAATAGTTATTATAAACAGGAACTTGCCCTAAAAAAAAGATTCTACGTATGTTTTGGTGTCCTATGACACCATCTTCAGGAGTAACAGTAAAGTCATGGTTGGGACTTATATACCCTCAGAATCAACAGTAAAGTCATAGTTGGGACTTATATACCCTCAGAATCAACAGTAAAGTCATGGTTGGGACTTATATACCCTCAGAATCAACAGTAAAGTCATGGTTGGGACTTGTATACCCTCAGAATCAACAGTAAAGTCATGGTTGGGACTTATATACCCTCAGAATCAACAGTAAAGTCATGGTTGGGACTTATATACCCTCAGAATCAACAGTAAAGTCATGGTTGGGACTTATATATACCCTTTAGAATCATTGACGTACCAATACCTTGGTTGATATGATATCTGGTCTAGGAGCAGAAATAATAACAAATAATAAAATACTGGACATATGTTTTGTAACTCTGGGTTGTTTAAGCTTAGATGGCATTATTCGTATGTAAATGATTATGTGGGTGTATAATTTCCGAACATACCTTTACCATTACTCCTTAAGATGGTGTTATAGGATACTGAAACATATGTTGAGTCTTTTTTTTTTAGGGCAAGTTACTGTTCTTAATAACTATTTATTGTGTAATGGTTTTAACATTGTATTCCTTTTAATTGGAAATAGACTTTACTTTATATATAAAGAGTTTAACAATTATGATATGAAGTAGAGTTTTTCAATTTAGATGGAATGATGGCTAAAAGAACAGTTTATTGAAACTAGCATTTCATAAAGGCTAACTGTGTTAATGTTTTGAAAGAAAGTTGTTAACATATTCACTGCCACCAGTAGTATTAATAATTCCTACCCTAGTGCCATTCAAGAAGTGCTGAGGAGCAGTCACAGTGTCCCAAACTCATATGCCACAAGAGAAATTTGATTTTGAAACATAATTGTCTGTGACCCACTGGTGTCATGTGTTCCATAATTTAAAGTTGGTTATGACCCTACTGGTGGGGCACAGGGTGGTGAATGTGTTAAGGTAACTTGACCATTGAGTTTCAGTATCTTGCATTGTATCTCTTCTTATAATTTTAATTTTTGAAAATAAAAGGCATCAAATTTTTGCATACAGAATCAAAGTAATAAAAAAGTTTATTTTGATATGCTTATTTTTTTTTGAAAAGCTTTCATGTGTACACTAAACTAAGACTGAAAAGAACACAAAGATGTAAGTAAATATTGTAATTTGTCCACTCAAAAGTGTCTTATTACATATTTTAACTTACTAAGAATTTATGATTAATATTCTGTTGAAGAGCTATGAGCCTATTAAATTCAACTGTTTGAAACTGGTATTAAATGCTAATATTTGAACTGCCATTTAGTTTGTAGAATAATGAATAAAACTTTAGGGAAGAAAAAACAACATTATGTAAAGACTGTTTAAATGACAAAATTGTAGAATTATGAAGTATGTTTCTAATACTATGATTTAATATTTGTTTTAGGGTGTATCAGAATTGATCTTGCTTGATCAGAGAAGAAAATTCCTGGATGAAAGCAACAGAAATCCATCACTTCTAGATCTAAATGAAGAAAGTTCTTTGGAGTTTACACAAGACGACATGTTAAGGGATAATCATAACTCAGAAATACACCAAACCCCCACAAAATCAAAGCATTCATTAGATATTAAGCAAGAGCCTGAGGATGTAAAGATTTCAGAATACAAAAATTGTACAGCTACCTCTTTGTTTGCCATGTATTCAGAATTGTATGAATATTTTGGTGATTCTCTGGCTATACGTCTTCCTATCATTGCAATGGATGGAATTTACCAAGAAAAGCATGTTCCTGAAGTCAGTGTTTTTTCCACCTCAGAGTTGCTTCAGAGTGGAGAAGAAATGTTAGAAACATTTTATGAAAAGGACGAGGAGATGAGAAGCAATAATAGCATAGAAGATGACAACTCATATGATGATAGAGATTACAACTCTGCCATGAGTGATGATCATGAAGCAGATCCAGTAGATCTCCAGATTAAAAGCACTATCAGTGATCCTACACTTGGTATCAAACTTACAATTGCTAAGCTTCGTAGAAATAAGCCTGTTAAAGAAGAGCCAAAAACTAAGCTTAAAAAGATAACTATAAGAACCTCAAAAGAACCTCCACAACAGGAACCAGTTTTTGATTACACACCACTTACTATATCAGATCCTTTCATTGAGTTTTGTTTTGAAGGGAGTTCTCCTGTTCCTAAGAACCAGCTGAAGAGAAAAAGATTGCAGAATCCTGATAATGCAGGCTTTACCTCCTCAGCAAATGTGTTAAAAATGAAATTGAAAGGAAAAATGAAGAAACCTTGCATAAAAAATACAAAGAGAAGAGTTTATAGTACTGGAAATCTGGAAATATCTTTGTAAATTAAGATAGGTTTCTTCATCAGTTTGAGATTTGTTTTTAATATGTGTAAATAACTCCAAATGTTTCTTCATGACCCATACAAATGATTTTTAATTACTTTAAAGATTACGTTGGAGTTTGGAAGCAAGGCAGAGATGGTAAAAACATGCCTTGATGTATAGTGTGCATAAGATAAATTTTGCTGAATGTCTAACAAGGTGTAATACATTTCTTTTAATTTTGATACAGTAATTATTGATGTTATTAATATACATTTCAGTTATTTAATGATTCTTAGTTAGTTAAATATAGAATAGCAATTTTCAAAGTATTGAAAAATGTATTCTTGCCACAGGAATGGTACCAACTATGGAAACTAACTTTTAGTGTTAAAAAGTTTTCATCATTCATATCATTTCTAACTCCATATAATATTGGTCTTGACTTTTGTAATCCACATATATATCTGTTATGAAATCTTCTGGACATGTTTCATTAATAGGAAAGTATATACAATATTGGTATATTCTCACATTACTTCTAGCAGCTACAAACAACATTGAAGATAAACACAACTGGTACATATATCATCACTTTTGGTTCGTTAATTTCTCTATAAAAGATTTTAAGAGTACCACACTCCCGTAATATAAACTTTTAAAATCAAACAATGATTGAAGCTTTGACAAAATTCAGATCTCCTATACCCTTTTCTTAATTTTATCTATTACCACCAGGAGTGTACAGTAACTGTGATAAATAATAAGGTGAATTGTATTTGATAATATTCACAAACTCTAAAAATGACTTTTTTAATAATTTGCTACAAAGGGATTGTTTTTTTCTCGTTTATTAGGCAGATTAATGGTCTTCTATTTCAGATGGAGTATTTTTCTTTACTGACACAGTATACTTCACATTTTGGTAGAAGGTTATAAAAATTACATAGCTTAAATTGCTACATAACTAAAAAAGAAGTCAAGGTGTTTATGTATTGTAAAAGTGCAGAGAAAATTGTATGTGTAAAATTCTCATGATCAATATACTAGTGAATTTCAGAAGTCACTAGTACGCCATTTTCAGATTTCTCTAGTTTCATTAATGTCACTGACTTTTACACTTTTGTCGTAATTTCAGAATTTTATCAGACACAGCTCACAGTCTCAATCGTAGACGAAACAGCGTAGCGCAGAAAACGATATTACATAATATCAGTGTTTTAGATTATTCGGACACCTAAATGCCTGTAAATATCTTATTTTTTCCAACTATCAAAATCAGACATTTTTATTTCCATCAAAATGAAAAATAGTAAGATAAAATTTTGTACAACATCAACTTGGTAGGAAACCTCAGACCAGCCTCAAGGTATATAATTGTTTTTACTCCTTCTACTATGCTATCATATCTCTGTCCTTCAGTGACTTAGCGATAAGCTCGAGGGCTTGTAATTGTTCGATCACAACGGCAGACACAACTCAGATAGCCCTTTGTGTAGCTTTGGGATAACATAAACTTACCCAACTTTATTTTTTATTTATGATTATATCTTTATAATTTCCAGTACACCTGCTGATGGTTATTGTCTTTCTAACAAGTTGATTGATTCTCAAACTCGGATAAACACTTTTCAAAATAATTTTCCATAGTTTTTGTGTTAATTATATGAAACGGTAAAAAATTTTTGTTGAAAGTTAGAGTGACTTTTTTTTTTATACGACGTATGCTTCTGTTACTGCTAGCCCTAATGAAACCTCAAGAGCGAAACGTTGTGTATAATAAAAAAAGGTTATTATCTGGAAAGTGTTTTATTTTTCTTATTTCTAACATTATTGTCAAGTTCTCTGTTGTTTTCAAAGGTCTAAGTAATGTTTTATAAGTGAAGTCATTGAAATTTCTTTCCTAGAAATTAGGTTTATATTTATTGAAAATGTGTTTCGAATGTAAAAAAAAATATATTATTTACTTATTCTTCGAAGTAGAGCACACCTAAACAGAAACTTATTATTTACTATATAAAAATCGTGCGTAGGAAGAAGGCGCGGCAAGTACTATCGCACCCCCTAAATTGTACCCATTTATTTATACGATGTATTTAAAAGGTGTAAACTGCCTCGGATACCATGTAAATGGACAGTTTTCAGTGAAACTTGGAAAATATTATCCGATGGGACACGACAATCCCGTATGTCTTTGTCGCTCATTTCCTTTTTCCTCCAAAAGTAGCACCTCTTTTATAAATTTCTTCCGACGCTTCTTAAAACCTTGTGCTAATTACATGATTTTCTCTTCTATGTAAAATTGTTGAAGGTAAAATATATATCGGCGTTATCAGTGGTATATTTTCGCATTACTATTGGCAACGATTACCCGAGCACGGCCGTATGGTTAGTGTGCCAGACTGTGGAACTGAAGTTCCGTAATTAGTGCCGTTGCAGCAATAAATAAATAAAATCGAGCTTTGCATTTTGATGTCATGGGTGCGTTATCAGGGTAAGAGTCATATCCTGCTATTCGATTCGAGTAACCCAAGGGTTAGCGGTGAGAGGTGTTGACTAGCAGCCTTTTCTCTCTTTTATTACTTCACGATATGGACGGCTAACGCAGATAACCCTCACGTAGTTTTGCGACAAATTGAACAAAAACATATCTATATATACCGAAGTAATGAAACTACATTATCAATTTGTTTATCCTGTATTACAATGTTAAATATTTAAGACGAGGAAATAAGTGTGAAATGTGTTCTAGACAAGTTTTCTTTAAGCCCCCCCCCCCAAAAAAAGCATACTATTCTTTCAACCTATACACACGCAAACATCGTTACACTTCAAATTTAATGAACAAAGTGTATTACTTCAATTATCTATATTATTTGTGGTTATAATGATAAGAATGAGTTATTTCTAAAGTAACCCGGATGTATCCAGAAGTTACAAAAGATAAACCTTTTACTCACTTTGTTTAGGTGAAAGCTTTTAAAAATCGTTCCATATTTGCATATCTACAGAATTCACTTTCAGAGACGCTCGAGGTATTGGTTCCTTGTTTTTTATAAGCCCAAATTGGTTTTCTCCCGCCACAGTGTTTTAAAGACTATTAAAATTAAGCGCTAAATATATCGAGAAATATTTCTTTAGGTCAGGTAATTTGGATTCTTTGAGATAATGGTTCTTTGGATACAGTTGTTTCTTCAAGTATTATTAAGATTAAATTTAAAAACATAAGATTGACGAACAATGATGCATGGTTAAATATACATACGTATATTAAGTAGTGAAACATTAGACGAAGGACAAACAAATGGCTAAAGAAGGAAGAAAAATGTCTTATTTTACTTGTTTATGATTTTGTAACATTTTACGTTTTTTTATTAACATTTGTTATGAAATAATTACATTTCATAGAAGAACAGCTGAAACTCGGAAATATTGTTTTAGTGAACTGTAATGCAAAAAATACCTCGAAATATTGTTGGTAGCATTATTATTTAAAGTAATTGCGTTATCGAGTTCGAACTGATAACGACGTGAAAAATAAGTGTCTGGAGTTTGAAAGATGAGCTGGAATTTATCTGTATATAAATATAACAAAAATACATATTAAACACCAATATTAGGATACAAAACATCACATTTGTAGCAGTTTTGTGGTTATTTAAAACCATTTTAATGTTATTTATTATTATTATCTATAATATCAAGTTTGGATTAAACACAATTTTCATACGTTTAAAAGTTACTTTTTCACATTGACTTGAAAAATTAACACTATTCAATGAAAAGGATTTTCCATTAGCAATATTGTTGGCGGTAAGTTCTTCATAATTTCCACTCAGAGTGCACTGGACGTTGTATTGTTTTCACCCGATAATTCAAAAGAACCAGCAAAGAAAGTATCACGTCACAACAATATATTTTGATGATTTTTAAACCTGAATTCTGCATAATAATTACCTAGATTGCATGAGCAATAGTTTTCAAGTTGTCACACATAAAAATTCATTAATCAAATGGAGCCACCTAAAATACGAAAATTACAAGATCTTCTGAGTGAAAGTAGAGGAGAGTGCATAATAATATATGAACTATGCCATTTCTACTATATGCGGTGCCGACGAAGCCTTTCGCTCAATACCAGCGCTTTACAAGCCAGCTGGAATACAACTAATTAAGGTCATAAATATGAATCTTATTTTATGCAATCAACATCTGACAAACTTAATTGGTTAAAACGTACGTTAGGAGGCAGCATGACAAAGTAGTTAGTGTTTTGAACTCGTAGTCGAAAGACGATGGGGGTCGAAGCTTACGCGGGACATAGTGTGTTCTCGAAGCAGGCACTTTATTTATCCAGCTGTATAATAACTATAGGCGGATAGCTTGGGGTTAATCTGCGATGGACTGGTAACCCATCCAAGGAGAGTTGTGTCATCAGTTCCATTTGGTAGTACCACAGTAAATCGGAATTGAGCACTGGACTTATGTGCCTTACGAAGGCGTGACAGGGATTACCTTACTTACTATGCACAAATATCTCTTATGTAGCTTCGCATGAAAATTCTAAACAAACAAATAAATAATATTTCGAATGCTTCATAAGCAATCAACTATCCTTGAATGTTTAAAAATAAGATTAAAACCAATGGTTTAGTGCTGAATTTTACAATGGTGGTGTCCTGAAAAACTTTATTACACGTGTGACGTCACCATCAGGATAAAGATTCAAAACCTAATATCCATTTATGTGAGTCCATTTTAACTAAAGAAAATATATGCAGGACTAATTATTTAAGACTACTTACCTTTGCAATAAATTGAGTACGCATATATTACCGGGAGCAAACACGCAACTCAACTTCCCTTAAATTAAGCAGCACGGAAAACAACAACGACTAGGTATAATATATACAACAGTCTCCTTCAAATTCAGTTTTAGCAAGAATATTATCCAAACAATATTAATAACTTACTTTTACAATGCTTTGCACACGCCCTGTCCATCCAACAAGAATAAGCAGAAAAAAGCGACCTTTGTTGTATAATATGTAAATTCTACAATTACATATAAGCCTTTTGAAAGTGTGTACGTTTTAAACACACAGTATAATTGTAAAATATATTTTGCTGAGAGTTTTAATAGCCCATTCAAGTGGCATAGTAACCCTGTGACGTATGACAATATCAAAGAACTTCTCTAACCTTACAACACCAGTCTTTAACAAAGTTGGCCACAATAATTACTTTGTTATTGTAGAAATTTTACATTATAGGATTTATTTAAGCACACTTATTATTAGGGCCTAGCGTGACCTATTGTACTTGAACTGTAAATCCGAGGATTTGTTGTTCGTAGCCTGTTACTGCAAAAACACGTTCTGCTCTTTGGGACAATAGATCCACTACAAGAGTAACAGCCATACAAGAAATGGCGATAGGTGTTGTTGACTAACTGACTTCCCTCTAGCCTCTCAGTTCAAATTGTTAGAATTTTCTATATCAGATAGCCTTTTGTATAGCTTTGAGTGAAAAATTCTACAAAACAAACACACAAATACCTTTCACAACAAAGCACATGAATAAACAAGCATCAAATATATAAAAAATATACAAAAAATAAAGTTCTAACCAGGATGCACGTGGATAAAACGACAAAGGGTTCGTGGTAACGTAACTGATTAGTTTTAGGAAGAATATTGTGCAAACAATGCTAATAACTTTTACAATGCTTTGTACACCTCCTGTCCAGCCAACATTATTATAAGTTAAATATGGAATTTAGTGATGATTGAAGCTAATAATTAGTTTGAGAAAACTGTTGACAAATTACACACAAAGAAAGTGAAAAAATATAATTTTTGTAACTTAGATGGTAAAGCTAGACATCCAAATAATTAATGAAAATAATCCTGACAATTAATAATTATTATTTTTTCTTTAATAGCTACACATAATACTATATAACGGGAAGAGTTTAAGTTAATCTATCAATTTAAATTATTTCATGGTCTTTTAAAAGGTCGTGTTGCTCTCTCAGAACCAAAGCTCTGAGCTACTTATACCGCCCACCGCGAAAAGCAATTGTTGAGAATTTCAATCATGCAGCTCAACAATAACATACGATGAATCTACACTTCTTTAAGTTACGTCACATTTTGAAATGTGAATGATAGTGTAATTAATTCCTAACAATTTAATGTAGAATAACTTGCTTGCGAAATAAAATTTGGAATCAACGTTATTCATGCCTGTTCTCCCGTCATTTCAAAAGTGAATGCCTGCATGTGCAGCTTTTCAACCGCAGCGCGAGAAGCGGCCACCATAAACGGGAGACAGACACCACGGTTCACAATATATACAAGATAAACCAATAATGAAGTATTTTGTATGAGACAGGTAGGTAGGTTTTGATTTGTTCTGTTTGTTTTTGAATTTCGCGCAAAGCTACACCAGGGCTATCTGCGCCAGTCGTCCCTAATTTAGCCGTGAAAGACTAGAGGGAAGGCAACTAGTCATAACCACCCA